TTCCAGTCGTTATCATGTCAAATTTTTCTTTTTAATAATTTCATTTTTTATAATTGTTTCCATTTCATGTGCATGAGGCTGGTTTACTGCAAAAATTAAATGATCTAAGAATTCTATTATTAGCTCATTAGCATAATACTTTCCTTCATGTTCTTTTAGTTTGTTTTTTAATGAAAAAACTATGTTGTTTTTGCAAAACCTATATCGTTTAGGTACCTTTTCCATACTCCCATTTTCAACATTCTATCCTCATCTAGTATTTCATAAATTTCTATATAGTTTTTGTTCAAATCTGCATAGTCAAAATCAATATTAGTACAAACGATGACATCTTTAATTACTCCTTCCTGAAACATTTTTTCTTTTTTAACATGTGATAAGAATGACAATATTTGACAAGGCTATAATTTGATTTTTTCGCCATCAAATTATCATAGGTGATCTTCTTTCCATCTTCTACATACACGTGTTTGGCTTGCAGAAGTCTAAAAACTTTTTATTAGCTTCTTTATATTCAAAAACCAAATCATCGAATTTGTGCGCTTCTTGTATTTCAGTGCCCAGTCTAAAATTGTATCCAAACAAAGTGGCTCGACATAGGAAGAGCATCAGCAATTTTATTTGATAAACGTTTCCATGAATTGCATTATTAAATTTGGGTTTTTTGTTCTGTTCAACTTCACCTATATTTTGATATTCTACTTTTCTTTTTCTTTTAGCAGAGTTCATTTTTATTATTAACAGATAACACAAAACTCAGTTTACAATATGTTTACATGCACAGTAAACTATAGTATGATACAAACACAACATTATCTTCTTATAACTTAATCGCATTCAAATGTATTGTAAACGCACTGATGATATTTTATTTATTTATATATTCAAATAGCTATCAACATACAATTCAATTTTATAAGCTATGGTAACGCAAACGAGAGGGGAGGGATTGAACGCGTTTCATTTAAGGTCACATGGATGTCACCAAATCATATCATTATACACGCAATTTTACAGCTAGATTTTACATATATCGTATTTATTACTCACCGGATACTTGTCTATTTATTTATTTTATAAAAGCAGTACACCAGTACCTTATATTTATTTAAATGCACTTAAATTTTTCACTAAAAAACAATAAGTATCCGGTAAAGATGTGTTTTAGGAATTATGAATTGACAAAAAAAAGAAATATTTTATTATAAAGAGAAGAGAACTTTGTACATCAAAAACACTTTTTTACACTAGCGTTTTAATTAATTTACGTCTGTACGTCGACATTTGTTCGTTGCACTTGTGAACTATGATAATGCAAATGAGTCAAAAAAAAAAATCGCTCGCTCATTGCAAAACACGGATGTGCTGGAACCATAGATAAGTAAACATAAATAGATCGCTATCTCAGGCCATTTGACATTACCAAAGTCAGTAGTCCGCCTGCAGACAGGTTCATGGTGTAAGAGCATCAGAAATCAATGATTCCATTTCCCATCCTTATGTTTAGGGGGACCCAGGGCCTTTTCACTTAGAACAAAATCCTCGTTCAGAAGGAATACTTAGGGGTCCATTTGTAGTCGCAGATTTGGCGCTAGTGAGCCGATGAAAAAGTATTTTCAAATATTTTATGTTGGTTACTAAGAAACGTCAGTGTTACTTTTGCGTAAGTTTACAAAATGGCGATTCTTGTTGGTTTGTGTTTGTATATTTGTTAATAAAGATTTCATCAGGAATTGCTCTCAAATGCATAGCCCTTTGACAATATGAATAGAACAGCTTCAAACTCATATGGAGGACATAATTACTACATTACTACGTAGTGCATTGACATATTAGTCTAATCATAATACACTTTAAGGAAAGAGGTCAGTTCTAGGAAATTGTGTAAGAAATCAAGTATACGCTTCTACAAGAAAGACATAATACACAAATAAAAAGCTGTTCCAGCTGTTTAAAATTGGACTACCACTTCACACGGATCTGAATATACTTGGGAGAAAATGAATTGCTTAAGAATGTCAAATTTTGCACAGGATGATTATTAGTTAATGAGAGTTAAGAATGACAGACGATGTAATGAACTAACACTATATGCATTATTCACTAAATTGCAATAAATATATATATTAATAAGTAGAAAAAAGTGTAGAAGTTATTCCAGTAGATTAGATGTGATATCATAATGTGATATATATAAACCGGTGTATTGCAGTATATTTGTTGATTTATATTTCGATTTGATTGTAATTTATTATAATATAATATTATCTAGTATATTTGTTATTATTGTATTATTACAAAACATAATAGGATTGTAATACCAAATTTAGTTTCAAATACCCGTGCACTAAATATCATTAATTTTGATTTCAAATTTTGCGCCATTAATTTGAATGCCAAAAACAGCGCCATCATGTCGAGCGGAGGACCCTTTAAGTATTCCTTCTGAACGTAAAAATCGGGCGAGAGAAGCGTCTATATGAACACGGGGTATTCTAATATTGTCTAGGGGGGGACCTCACTAATCACGAGATGTTTTTAGGGGGAAGGAAATTTTGACAAAAAATCACAAAATATCACGTGGGGAAGAAAGGGGTATAGTAAGATACATAGATAAACAATTATAAGGTAAGATATCACATGTATTTATTTTTGAAGTAAAACTTCTTCAGGCGAGACTAAGGTTGTAAATCCGTACAAATGCAACGGAAGTCCGTTACGCCCGAACTGTTCGTCATTCACTCTCGATGAGATCATTTCAATACGGGTAGATCGTGATTAGTCGTCGTGTATGTGAATAGAGATCTGTCGTTGTATGCGTACCGGCATCAACGTTGTATGCGTACCGATATCAACAAGTTTTTAGTGAAAGTAAATACTTTATTTTCTGGTAAAAACAAACTTCTCCTTCAACGGTTAAGGGTTACTTAAATGTTAATACAGTTAGAGATATTATAAGCTTGTTTGTTAAAATAAGGGTCAACTGGAAATGGTATTAATTAGTTAAGGGTTGCTTAAATATTGATATAGTTAAAGCAAAAACATCATTTTCGAAATAGAATGTAGACTATTAATATGCGTATATGGAAGTTGATGCAACTTGCATCAAGGCAAAATACCATTCACACCTATTTAATATTTTAATTAATTTTTTGTAGCAACAAAAACTTATGTTATATTTTTTATTAGATATTTATATAGAAAAAGCTGCATAAATCTACACAAACAAACGCAATTAAAGTTTTGAGAAGATTTTAAAGTACTTTAAAATTAAATACCTCTCCTTTATTATCAATAACGACTGCAGTGTTCCAAATGGTAACCCCATGGTTTGCATCCAACGTTCCAAAATTGGTGAAATTATCACCATGCATGTTGTATTCTTTGCAAAGCTAAAACAAAGATTTTATTATATATAATAATAATAATAATAATTAATCATCATTAATTAGCTATTAATTATTATACCTTTTGCAACATACGGGTTGTTGGTCCATCTTCTGCTGATTCAGCATATTCACACCAAGGTAATTTTTCTCGAGTACAAAACCCAAAAGGCATTGCTACAACAAACAGTAATCATCAACACATTATTATTAAAACTTATGGGGCAATTCTGCCGTAACAGAGCTCATAAAATAGCATTGTCATAGCAACGCTATCTTATGCTTGTTCTTGGCAGTGAAAATTATGAATATATCTATTTATTTGCTGTGCAATCAGGCGTATTCTATATATAAGATGAGCAAGGAAGAAAGCGTTATGATAACAGAATTCTAGATTGCAGCTATTATAACTTTATGCATTGCTTTTTTGTATGTAAAATACGCCTGATCGCACAGCAAATAGATGGACATTTTCACAGTTTTCACAATCAATAAACAAGCATAAGCTAGCATTACCATGACAACACTATTTTATGAGCTCGGTTACGGCAGAACTGCCCCATTAATTATTCTTAACTATCTTCTATCTATTACTTTCTTCATGCTTCCTGCAAGCACAGCACATTAACATTATTATCACAAGCAGCTTGTATAATATTCCTAGCCTTTCCATATAAAGCCTCTCTCATTTCAACCACAGGAGTCCATGTGTTGAGGCCTTCGGGTAGTGCAAATTGCACTGCTGCAATTTAACAACTCTCGAGGCTCTTGTAGATTCATGACGAGCTAGAGGTACAAAAGTGTGGCCGCGGATTTCGAAACTGTTCGTTGTTGCAAATGATGAACTGTCGGGGCGGAGATCCAAAGATGAACTAGATAAGAAATGATATATGGTATTAAATTTTTGTAGCATTGGGGTGCATATGATATATACTTAGATGTAAGGTATTTATATAACTAATATATAATGTATTTTGATTTAATTATTGAAACATAAAACAGAATTTGATTTAACTATTACAAAACAGAAATCATGAATACTGAAAACATACAGTAATAATAATTAAAATAAATGCAATGAGGAGCACCACGATTCAACAATTCCCTTTCCCTGCCTTGTTTATTATTCCCATTACCATTTTATTACCATTAATAAATGTTTTATTCATTCTTATGCATTTTTCTTTCCAAACTTCTGCTTCCATGCTTCCTCGTCCTGTGTTTCGGCTTTCAAATCCCTAAATTTTCTCTTTTGACACAAGTCATCAATCATCTGCATTTTTCTTTTTCGCAATCATTGTAGGTTTTCTATTATTCATTTTGCGGAGTGGGTCCAATTCAGTTTCCTTTTCTTTTCAGAACCATGCTCAGTAGAGTTCTTTCTTCGCACACTCTTCTCAGGGCTTCTCTATTTGTTACCTTTACCTTCTCTATTCTCCCCCAGCATCCCTTTTTAAAACTTTCCCGATAGTTTTTGTCATTGACAATATTATTAATTATATTGTCTAGGGTTTTTGTCGCCCTTTCTTACAGTCCATGTCTCTGATCCGTAAAGAGCTATGCTCCAGACATAATACTTTTTACAAACGTATAGGAAATATTTTATTTAAAAAAAACAAGCAACTATAAGCACTAATACGGTTTTATTATATTTTAAGCTTAATTAAACTGATTTCACGAATTATTTTTAATGATTTAAGTGTTTATTTAAGAATGTCAAACATAAAATGACATTTGTTTAAATTCAACAGCCATGAAAATCGTACTGATTAAATCTAGGTTGGCATCACTGTTGTTAACTTGACTGATGTGAAGTATGTTTATTTTTCTACGAACTAAAGTTTTGCAAAATGAATTAAATTAAACGCATTTTAAGTAATATAGCAATTAATAAAATGATAAACAAAATGAAAATATAATTGTTTTAACATTTAACATTTCATTATTTCCAAAAAACATCATCGAAAAAATCAAAATGTCGGTGTTCAATTTTGACAGTTCATAAACTCAGCATCATGCAACACTACTGTCAAAACTTGTTCATAATAAATTCAAATTTATGTTAATTACTAATTTAAACCTTATTAATTAAACAAAAACTATAATTAATATATCAATAACAACTTACTAATCGCTGCGTCCATAAATAATCTTTTTAACCTCCTTTAGTTCCTCTTCAGGAATATATTTATCCAAAACCTTCTCCACACTTTCAATCTTGGCACTGGACATTTTTAACAATTTTTTTTAATATAATTTATAATAAAGTTGTGACAAATATTACAAAATGTTCCTGCACTTGTGAAACATTCAAGTTTTGATATAAAACTTTTTTATCAATGTCGGAAAATAAGTTATTAATAGATTTGTTTACACAACACACACAGCAAGTGATGCTGAAGTTTATTTGACCTTGTTAAAGAATTTAAGATTGTGTTGTTCAGGACATTGTTATTAATTTACAGATAAAAACAGTTTGAATTGATATTGAGGAAATTAGGTATTTGAATTATTGGAGTTAGTAGATGTAGCTAATTTGTATTTGTAAAATTACAACTACTTATATGCATAAATCCAATTCAATCAATACTATAAGTATTAACATTTATATCTGTTTTTCAGTATATATAAAACGTGTTTCTGTCCAGCTCCTAAAACAGACTTGATTAAACCTAATCGAGTGCCAATTAATATACTTGTTAACATAACAAGCTTCAATTAAGAAACAATTATTATTAGATTAATATTTTATATCGATTTGTGAAGACAGGAAACTGAAAGCATGGAAACAGAAGTTTGGACAGGAAAATGAATAAAAAAGTGATTAATAAAAAATAAAATGGTAATGAAAATAATACTACCATATACTATTATTATCGATTTGAGACGAAATTATAAAATTAGACTTCGAGTCATCCCTATGCACTCGTATCCTTGTCTACAAATATAATTATTAATATTTAATCATACATTTATAGGTTGACGAAAGGGTAGAAGGTATATTATTTTAAAAATCTTTAATTATGCTTTACATATATTTAAGAAAATTTACAACAAAATTATTGCTATTTTTAGATTATACACAGAACCAGAAATGGTCATACATATCAGGGATGCTAGGACACAATATTTCTTGCCCTTTGCATTACATAAAAAACAAACTAACAATGTTATGAAAATATTACAAACTAGGATTGTATAATAATGGTAAAGCTTAAAACTTTATGTATTTATATAGAATTTAAAAAATATGCTCACACGTTGAATAATAATAATTGTTATATTGCTTAATTTTATTAAAATATATTACAGCAGCCTCTTTCCACAACATTTTAGATCATTAGATTAGATAAAGATCTCTTCGCTTTTCAATAGAATTCTTTCACTTGTGTACATAGTTTGTTTTTTTTTTATTTAATTTAAATTTATTTTTATATCAAACAACATTTCTGGCCTTTACTTTAAGGGGGTATTCTAGTGTAGAAATTCAAAAAAAATCGATTTTTTTTTTATTTCATATTTTCAAAGTTTAACTAATTCAAGAATATAAGTACGAGAAGGTTTTTGAAAATTTGAATTATTTTTGGAGATATAGGCATTTTACTGACTCGGTCTCCAAACTGGTTTGGCTTCATGCAAAACTTTAAATGTGTTTTTCTCAGAACTTACTTTTTCAGTACTCTTGTCACGATTTCTGAAGTTCTACTCGACCAATTTATTTGAAATTTTCAGTTAGTCTTGTTTATAGATATATCTATAGTCTGAACTAGAATCATCCCGAAAGTCCTATCTTTACTATTTTTAAAAAATTCGAGAAACTCAAAAAAACAGTTAAAAAAAACTTTTTTTTTTCAAACAACCACCAATTTGTGAAAAAAAAATTTTTTACTTATCGCTAGTTCAGCCGATTGCGACATCATTGTAGATTAATAATCTTTTTATTTTTTGCATTTTTGATGGCTAGGAGGGCTGAAATCATGTCAAGACTGAGGTGCCAATTTTTTGAGACCACCCACTTTACCAGTTGCCAGTTTTTACAATTTTTAACTTTTTTATTTTTGTTTTGTATCTTAAAAATATAAATAGACAAATGGTAAAAAAATGGATAGTGAAAACATTCATTGCTTTCTTTTACGACACTTCAAAAATGACCTAAAATTCATCGCTCTACACTAGAATACCCCCTTAATACAAATTTACTATAGTATTTCCAATAAATTTTGAAATAACACAATCTATAAGACTGTTCGGAAAGTAATTTCGTTCTTTATCACAGGGAATTTAATTTTACAGTTTTGAATCCAACATTACACTCAAACTCTATAAATCCGGTCACAATTTTTTAGACAGAAGAACCTTTAATTGAACACACCTTGATCAGTTTTTTTGCCAATAAAGACTACAATTTATGATAAAAAAAGTTTGACTAAAACGGCTAAAACATAATTTAATAAAATATATGTTTATTATACGAAAATGATTTGTCAAAATGCTTATAAAAATGAAATTACTTTCCGAACTACACAATAAAATAATATCTACATGAACCAACTACTTAAATCATCACATAATATTTTTTGAAATTTACTAAAATGTCTTATATAATTTGCAGTAAGCAGAACATCAGGATGATATTTCTCCAATATTAGTTCTAGATCTGCAGTGCTTCGGTTAACTTTTCTTTCTCTCTTAAAGTATCAGCAAGTAAGTTCCTAGTGAATATAGTATGGTCATGTACTTCACCCAACACTTCCACCTGCTTTGGAAGTAAATTCTGAAGTAAATGAAGAGCAGCTTCATAATCGCCTTTTTTGTACAATGCTAGTCCTTTCAAACAAATAGTATGCAATGTATCAAAATGTTTTTCGCCAAAGATTTTTTCTTCAATTGGGATTAAAACATTGTATTCTAGCAGACCTTCTTCATATTTTTCTAAATCTATTAAAATATTTGCTATATCATCTCTAGTGTACAGACTCTCAGGATGATGTTTTCCTAATTTCCTTTCTAGTTCTGCAAGCAATTCTCTGTGACATTCAAGTGCTTCCATTAACTTTCCTTCCCTCTTAAAGAATAAGCAATGAAACGCCTAGTGAATATAGTATTGTCATGTACTTCTCCCAACACTTCTATCTGCTTTGAAAGTAAATTTTGAAGTAAATGAAGAGCAGCTTCATAATCGCCTTTTTTGTACAATGCAATTCCTTTTGAACAAATAGTTTGTAATGTATCAACATGTTTTTCACCAAGGGTTTTTTCTATCATTGGAATCAAAACATCAAATTCTTGTAGGGCTTCATCATATTTTTTTAAATCTATTAAAATGTCTGCTATATCACTTCTAGTGCACAGACTATGAGGATGCTTCTCCCATTTTTTTTTTAGATCTCTAAGCAATCCTCTACGACATTCAAGTGCTTCAACTAACTTTCCTTTCATTTCCAAAGCATAAGCAATATAGCGCCTGGACTCTATAGTATCGTCATGTACTTCTCCCAACACTTCCATCTGCTTTGGAACTAAATTCTGAAGTAAATGAAGAGCAGCATCATAATCACCTTTATTGTATAATGCTACACCCCTAACACGAGTAGAATGCATGGTGTAGACATGCTTTTCTCCAAGGATTTTTTCTTGAAGAGGGATTAAATCATTACATTCTTGTAGGACTTCATCATATTTTTTTAAATCTCTAAAAATATCTACAATATCATTTCTAGTGCGCAGACTCTCAGGACGATGTTTCTCCAACTTCCTTTTTAGATCTGCAAGCAATCCTCTGTGACATTCCAGTGCTTCGATTAACTTTCCTTTTCTTCTCAAAGCATAAGCAATATGGCTCCTGATGGTTATAGTATCATCATGTACTTCTCCCAACACTTCCATCAGCTTTGGAAGTAAATTTTGAAATAAATGAAGAGCAGCATCATAATCGCCTTTTTCGTACAGTGCAAATCCTTTGAAACAAGTAGTACCCATTGTAATGACATGTTTTTCACCAAAAGTTTTTTCTTGAATTGGGATCAAAACATCACATTCTTGCAGAACTTCTTCATATTTTTTTAAATTTATTAAAATGTCTACAATGTCATTTCTAGTACGCAGACTCTCAGGATGATATTTTTCCAACTTTCTTTCTAGATCTGCAAGCAATAATCTGTGACATTTCAGTGCTTTGACTAACTTTCCTTTTTTTCTCAAAGCATAAGCAATATAGCGCCTGGACTCTATAGTATCGTCATGTACTTTTCCCAACACTTCCATCTGCTTTGGAACTAAATTCTGAAGTAAATGAAAAGCAGCATCATAATCACCTTTATTGTATAATGCTACACCCCTAACACGAGTAGAATGCATGGTGTAGACATGCTTTTCTCCAAGGATTTTTTCTTGAAGTGGGATTAAAATATTACATTCTTGTAGGACTTCATCATATTTTTTTAAATCTCTAAAAATGTCTACAATATCATTTCTAGTGCGCAGACTCTTAGGATGATGGTTCTCCAACTTTCTTTCTAGATCTGCAAGCAATAATCTGTGACATTCCAGTGCTTCGATTAACATTCCTTTTTTTCTCAAAGCATAAGCAATATGGCGCCTGGTGAATATAGAATCGTCATCTATTTCTCCAAATATTTCCATAAAGTTTGGAAGTAAATTTTGAAATATACCAAGAGCCGCATCATAATCGCCTTTTTTATACAATGCTACACCTCTTAAAGCTGTAGAATGCATAGTGTCGCCATGCTTTTCACCAAGAACTTTTTCTTGAAGTGGGATAATATCATCAAATTCTTGTAGGGCTTCATTATATTTTTCTAATTTTATTAAAATATTTGCTATATCTTTTCTAGTGCGCAGATTCTTAGGATGATGTTTCTCCAACTTCCTTTCTAGATCTGTAAGCAATCCTCTGTGAGATTCAAGTGCTTTCACTAACTTTCCTTTCTTTTCGAAAGCATAAGCAATATAGCGCCTAGTGGAGATAGTAAAGCCATGTACTTCTCCCAACACTTCCGTCTGCTTTGGAAGCACATTCTGAAAAACATCAAGAGCCGCATCATAATCGCCTTTTTCGCCCAATGCTATACCTCTTAAAACTGTAGAACTCATAGTATCATGATGCTTTTCACCAAGAACTGTTTCTTGAAGTGGGATCAAAACATCAAACTCTTGTAGGGCTTCATCATATTTTTCTAATTCTATTAAAACTTCTGCTATATCTTTTCTAGTGTGCAGACACTCAGGATCATGTTTCTCCAATTTTCTTTCTTGATCTGTAAGCAATCCTCTGTGACATTCAAGTGCTTCGACTAACTTTCCTTTACTTACCAAAGCATTAGCAATATGGCGCCTAGTGGAGATAGTAATGTCATGTACTTCTCCCAACACTTCAGTCTGCTTTGGAAGCACATTCTGAAAAACATCAAGAGCCGCATCATAATCGCCTTTTTCGCCCAATGCTATACCTCTTAAAACTGTAGAACTCATAGTATCATGATGCTTTTCACCAAGAACTGTTCTTGAAGTGGGATCAAAACATCAAACTCTTGTAGGGCTTCATCATATTTTTCTAATTCTATTAAAACTTCTGCTATATCTTTTCTAGTGTGCAGACACTCAGGATCATGTTTCTCCAATTTTCTTTCTTGATCTGTAAGCAATCCTCTGTGACATTCAAGTGCTTCGACTAACTTCCTTTACTTACCAAAGCATTAGCAATATGGCGCCTAGTGGAGATAGTAATGTCATGTACTTCTCCCAACACTTCAGTCTGCTTTGGAAGCACATTCTGAAAAACATCAAGAGCCGCATCATAATCGCCTTTTTCGTCCAATGCTATACCTCTTAAAACTGTAGAACTCATAGTATCATGATGCTTTTCACCAAGAACTGTTTCTTGAAGTGGGATCAAAACATCAAACTCTTGTAGGGCTTCATCATATTTTTCTAATTCTATTAAAACTTCTGCTATATCTTTTCTAGTGTGCAGACACTCAGGATCATGTTTCCCCAATTTTCTTTCTTGATCTGTAAGCAATCCTCTGTGACATTCAAGTGCTTCGACTAACTTTCCTTTACTTACCAAAGCATAAGCAATATGGCGCTTGGTTTTTATAACATTGTCAACTACTTTACCCAACACTTCCATCTGCTTTGGAGATAAATTCTGAAGTAAACGAGGAGCAGCTTCATAATCACCTTTATTGTACAATGCCCCCCCGACACCAATAGAATCCATGGTGTCGACATGCTTTTCACCAAGGATTTTTCCTTGAAATGAAATCAAAACATTACATTCTTGTAGGGCTTCATCATATTTTTCTAAAGCTATTAAAATGTCTAAAATAACATTTCTAGTGCGCAGACTTTCGAAATGATCGTTCTCCAACTTTCTTTCTAGATCTGCAAGCAATCTTCTGTGACATTCGAGTGCTTCGGTTAAATTTCCTTTC